CTGAGGTCGGGAAAGTGGCGGTGGTGGTGGTGGTGTTGATGGTTGGGGGTAAATAGAAAAATGGAAAAGAAAAGAAAACGAGGGAAAAAAGAAAAAAATGAGTGAAAAGAGGACGGGCAATAAATGAACAATAAATAATAAAAACAGGAGAATAAACGAAAGAGAAAAAAACGCAGATGGAACCAAGAATTGTGGAAAGAAGTAAAAGAAATGGAAAAAAAAAGTGAAGAAGCAGGACAAAAAAGAAGTAGAAAAAGAGGAAGAAAAGGACAAAATAAAGGGAGAAAACAAAGAAAGAAGAAAAAGAAAATATTAGAGGGTAGTAAAGAGGAAAATGAAGAAGAGTAAATGCAAGAAGAAGAAGAAATAATGAGAGAAGAAAAAGAAGAAAAGAATGAGAGCGTAAGAAGAAGAAGATGAAACAATGAGAGCAGAAACACGAAGAAGAAGAAAAAGAAGAAGGTAAGACTGAGAGCATAAGACGACGACGAAGAAGAAGAAAGAAAGAATGAGAGCAGAAAAAAGGAGCAGAAGAGAAGAAGAAAGAAGAAGAACAGAAGACGAAGAATAAGAAGAAGAAAAAGAAGAAAAGAATGAGAGCATAAGAAGAAGAAGAAGAAGAAGAAAGAATGAGAGCAGAAGACGAAGAAGAAGAGGAAGAAAAAAGAATGAGAGCAGAAAAAAGGAACAGAAGAGAAGAAGAAAGAATGAGAGCAGAAGAGGAAGAAGAAGAAAAACAAGGAAAGACTGATAGCGTAAGACGAAGAAGAAAAAGAAGAAAAGAATGAGAGCATAAGAAGAAGAAAAAGAAGAAGAAGAAGAAGAAGAAGACGAAAAGAATGAGAAGAATAAGAAAAGAATGAGAGCAGAAGACGAAGAAGAAGACGAAGAAGAAGAAGAGGAAGAAGAGGAAAGAAAGAGATCAGAAAAAAGGAGCAGAAGAAAGAATGAGAGCAGAAGACGAAGAAGAAGAAGAAGAAGAAGAAGAAAAGAATGAGAAGAATAAGAAAAGAATGAGAGCAGAAGAC